AAAGAGTAACGAGAAAAGAAGCAAAAAGGGAAAGAAAGGAAAGGAAAACGTAACAAAAGAGTATAAAAGGAAGTGAAACAAAAGACGATAGTCGAGTAAGGTAAAGTCACCTTGCTTAGCACGTGACTGTGATGGGTGTGTATATATATACACATATATATAAGAAGAATTATATATCCGTGTATATGTATAACGAGTCAAGTGTGAATAATTCTTCTAGCTTGGAAAGCAACGTGGCCGACGAGTGCTGTTGATTTGGTTCCGTGCAGGGTGCGAGCTCTCTTCGACTTGTACGCTTGCATTTTACCCCTGATTCGCGATTTCATCTGCGAAAAGAACCACAGGTACCGCCGAAAATCGGTAGGACAATCGAAAATTCGTCTGAAACCGTGAACGACCAACCCTTTCGTTCCTCTCTTTCAACGTTCGACGAGCGAACGCGTCTGGAACCGTGAATCAGGGGTAACACACGAACTTAACCGTTATCTACGTACAATGTATTACCTGTCACATGTACGGTAACTTAGAAACTAGCGGATAATCAGAGCGACCAAGGCCGGATGGTTTTGTTGATTGCAGGTCCACCAGTGGAGGTCGGCGTCACCATGTATGTCCTCAGCATCAGCTCCGTGTCCGAAGTGTTGATGGTACAGTTTGCATTCTCAAACTCATACAGAACTCACATCGACAGCCGTTCGTTCATTTCTTTCTCACCCTCCCTGTTCGTTCGCCTACCGACGCGTGTACCGACGCGTGTTCCGACGCGTGTACCCCTTTTTCTTTCACACTGTTCACGGAATCAACCGTATTCACCGTGAGAGCGATCGCGGCGAATCGAATCGTCGATTCGACACCGACACCGAACACCGCAGCGACACACGATCGATCGATCGATCGATCGGACGTGCTACCGACGGACCGGGCAACGATCGATCCGGCCGATCGATCGTATCGAGCCGCGCGATACCGACACATCGACCGAACGAATCAGCTTTTCGTGCGCGCCGTTTCATCCCACTATGCCGCTTGTTTCCGATTGTTTGTTTCGCGATTATCCGAACCGCGCGTGTGTGCACGTGTGTACGGCAAATATTCATATACGCTCGCGTCCCACGTGAAATTCGACCGAAAGAACAATACGGGACGACGCGAGTGAGATTAATAAATATTCGTCCGTGAATATTCATCGTTCGTTAGCATTGTTCGAACCCGGTCGCGAAATGTAAGTTTTCGCGGTGATGGAACCGCGGCGTCGCGTAAAGTTTTCGTTGTCGAACGAGATCGGTCGCGGCGTATCCGTATCTCTATCTATCTATCTATCTCTCTCTATC